GGCCTTGGGCCTGCAGCTGCTGGGAGGGGGCACCAGAGGCCCCTTTGCTGGAGGGACCCCTCGCTGTGGGGGGGGCTTTCTCCTTCCCTGCAGCCCCTTGGCCCAGATGGGCGGCCAGGCGGGACCGGAGCTCAGGGAGGGGCTGGGCCCAGCTCTACCACACGGCCTGTGACTGAGGGTTCAGGTGTCGGGTGCTGCCCTGTGGCCCCAGGGCCTGGTTCTCAGCAGGGATGCACCAGGTTAAGGGGCTAACCAGGAGGCAACACCCTGGCTGGGCCGTGCTCACTGGGGTTGGTTCACCACGGGCAGGGGGCTGTTCCTGGGCCCGCAGTGGACGGGGTGCTCCAATGGGAGCTGGGAACCGGCAGCAGCCCCAGCCCAGGGCTAGTGGCGAGAGCCCCACAGGTCGGGGGCTGCTCCAACTGGGATGGGGCAGTCGCCAGCCAGACCCGCTCAGTTGGATAACGGGTTAAACACGAGGTTTGAGTCACGTCTGGCTGCGGATGGGGCGGGGGAGGGCCCGGGGACTCCCCCACACCCCGTCACAGCAGAACATGTCAGACATGGGATGGGGCTGACAGAGCATCACAAGAGAAATGCATCATCCTCCCCCACCATCCCATGCCCCAGGAGAAGGGAACGGGGCAGAATTTGTTTCTCTCTCTGGTGTTTCTCACTCTCACAGGCAGGGCCATTGCAAAGGCTTCTGAACAGAGAAGGGTTCAATGAATCAACCTGAATGTCCTGCACCCCCAGTCTGTGCCGTGCGCCCTGTTCGGTCCCTCTGAGGTACCTTTGAACACCCTCAGTCTCTCCGACAGCGCAATAGTTTGCTGGGAGAAATCCCGGACTCGCTCCTCCAGTTCAGGAGCCATCTCCTCTGGCTGTTGGGCCTGCCCTTCCTCACACCTGGGGAGACATAACGTCCCCTGGTGACCCTGCACTGAGTGACTCAGTTCTCACCCTCTGGCCAGCGAGTCGCTGCTCTGATGGGCCGGGAGTTAGAATTTCTCTAGTTCTCCCAGCCTGAGAGCAGGGGCAGCGCAGCCCCCAGCCGGGCGACCTTCCCCGCAGGGACTCAGGAATGTTCCCCACGTCCGGCCTGGGGAGACCAGCTCTGGGGACAAAGGGGAATTGGGTCTCCATGGCCAATTCACTCCTGGGCCGCCAGGCGCTGAGGGACGGGAGGTTCCCGGGGGCAGGGCTGTAGAATCTGCCCGCTGGGGACTGGACCAGTGACCACCGAGCAGTCGATGGGATTTGCTGGAAGATCCTGGAACCTCTGACAGGGGATCCTGACGGGTTTGGCCAAGAGGCTGTCAAGTGCCAGCACTTCAGCTGCTCCTCCCCCCACTGCTGGGCATCTCCTGCCCTTTGCATTGGAGCTGTTTCCCTCAGGGGGAGGGGTCCTGCTTTTTGGGCAGGGCAGGGAGAGGAGGGCGCGGATGTCAAAGTGCCTCCTTCTCCCACACTGTATCCTGTCTCCACAGAGCAGAGAGGGGGCACAACAGGACTAGGGATAGAACAAGTTTGCTGGCTGCTTTTGGGAGTGGTGCAGGGCCAGGACAGGGATGAACCTGCCTCACCCCACTGCCCCACCACCCAGGAGCCACCTGAGGTGAGCAGTGTCCACTTGGAGCCCACATCCTAAAACCCTACCCCAGTCATGTGCCCCCTCCTACACCCCAAACCCCTGTCCTAGCCCTGAGCCCCCTGCATCTAAACACCCTCCCAGAGCCTGCACCTAGAACCCCCTCCTGCACCCCAACATCCTGCCCCAAGGTCAGCTCAGAGCCCCTCTCACACTCCACATCCCTTAATCCAAGACCAGAGCCTGCAGCCCAACCCTCTGCCCCTGCCTGGTGAATGTGAGTGATGATGGGGAGAGATGGAGTGAGCAGGGGCGGGGCCTGAGAGAGAGGCGGGGCAAGTAACACACAGGAGGTGGGGCCAGGGTATTTGGGTTTGAGGTCGATCTTGGATGGCACTTCAGTTCAAAAAGTGATCTCGTGCTTAAAAATGTCAGAGACCCCTGGACTAGACTGAGACACCAGCTCCCCCTCCCCCGTTCACCCCACACAGGTCTCCAAACAGCCCTCGGGTGGGACAGACCCTGGATCATTGATGCCCTGGGCTGGATGGTGTCCAGCGCCCAGCAGAGACAGGCCCATGTCCCACTCCTCAGTCCTGGGGCAGCCAGTCCCCAGGGAGGGGGCAGCTCTAGGAAACACTGGAGGTCACTGAATGGAGAATTCCAGAGTCTACACAATGAGAAACCCTCAGATTGAAGTTTATCAGAGAAATTTGTGCCCAGCCTGTGACCTTCCCTTCCTCCCCCCTCGCCCATTTGCATTTTAAACTACCGTGACCTTATTTTTATTCTCAAGTAACCGTTAGGCATGCTTGCAACCAGAAGGGTCTCCCCAAGTATAGTAAGAGAATAGGAGGAGACCAATCCATAGGAGTAAGGAAGGAAAGGAGGCACTCTTGGAGCTATCTGCACAGCACATGAAACAGACAAAGGGGCCCCAGAGAAGGGGTTTAGACGTAGCTCTGTGCCTGGGACTCTGCAAAGCCCAACAGTTGCTCACGTGTCAGCAAAGCACCTGCCACGTTACACCCAGACCTGACGGCTGGACCCCAGCACTTGTGTTTCAGGAGCCTCCCTTCCCTGGGTGGGGGGCTGGGCTGTTTCTCCTCGGTCTCACCTGCAGGAATTCACTCACTGGCTTCTGACACTTCCCCTCCAGCTCCCCGATCCGCTCGCTGAGACGGGAAATCTGCTCCGAGAGTTTCCTGCCCCTCTCGGTCTGGTGCCTCCTAATCTCCTCCTCCAGCTTCTGCAGCTGGGCCAGCAGGAGTCGCTCTTGTTCCTCCAGGAACTGCCGCAGCTGCTGAAACTCGGCCACGATCTTCTGCCTCTTGGCTTGTGTCTGTTTCTGAGTGAAAACAGGGACAGGGCTGGTCGGGGGCAGTAATGGAGCCTGAAGGCCCTTAATACAGTCTGGCAAGAGAGACAATTTCTAAGACATTGTACAGGGACCAGGGCCTGAGCTGTCAGTCCTAGAGCTGCAGCTGGAAGTCAGGATCTAAAGCCTGAGTCAGGATCTTACTAAGGGCTGCGGCCAGAATTAAGATTAAGTGTCATGACAAAGGCCGAGCCAGAGTCAGTGTCTGGAGCCATGTGGAGGCAGGACTGAGGCAACCAGGAGACATGACAAGCCAGAGTCAGAGACAGGCAGCAGTGCCCCAGGCCAAACCTGGTAACACCAGGGCCAAGCCAGGGTCCGGGAGCAGCCCAGCAGCAGATAAGGAAGTAACTCAGTTGTTTGTATCATGTCCCTTGGCTCCTTCAAGTGTATCTAGCGATCATGCATCCACAGGGTGACCAGATTTCCCCATGACAAATATGGGACACCAAGGGTGGGGGGGCTGCTGGCACTTGGGGCTTCAGCTGTGCAGCGTGTATGTGTGTGTGTGTGACTCAGGGCTCTAGCGCTGTAACGGGGGAGCGAGGAGGTAATCAGGGATCCAGCCCCATGGGGGAGGGGCAGCACTCGGGGTTTCAGTGACTGAAGCTCAGAGCACCAGTTTTCCCTCTGGGGTGGCCTCCTTTCACAAGTGGCGTGCCATGATTTAACCTATTCACAGATCTGTGTGCTGGGAGGGGAGGCAGGGCCAGGCTGGGTACAGTGACCATATTTCCTGAACCAGCTGCAGCAAAGGAGAACGGTTCAATTTAAATGAAACAGATTAAATATTAACTTATGTCCAACACCAAATGTTTCAATGCCTCTGTATTTATGAGAAGGGTCAGCTGGAGACCACACAAGTGAGAAGCAAAAAACCTCTTCCAAAAAATCCTCAGCCTTTACTGCTGTGGCCCCCCAACAGAGGGTCCGTCTACACTCTACAGTTTTTCCGGGATAGCAGATGTATCCCAGAAAAACTGTTCTGCGTCCGGGGATGCGTTTGTTCTTCCACTTTTTTTTGCGGATGAGCAAACACGCTTTTTCAGAAGCCCCTGCATTCTTCGTTCTATGGGGAATAAGGGGGCTTCTGAAAAAGGTTTTTTTTTCTGACATTTGGCCCAGTCTAGGGTTGTCAGGTGTCTGGTATTCAACCGGATAGTCTGGTTCTGGGGCCCTTTGTCCAATAAAAAAATTCAGAAAATCCCGGACATGTGTAATGTTCGGTATTTTCTGGTTTTCCGTCTGGGCGCCCGACGGAAGCCTGGCGAGGGCAGGGAGAGTGGCTGGGAGGCGGGGTGCAATCGGTGCTAGGAGCCTCTGGTTGTGTCTGACGTAGGAGTGATGCCTTGGGGAGGAGGAGACGCTCCTGAGCGCTGGTCTAGCGGGTTGTGGAGGCGGAGGCGGAGTCACTCGCG